AAGCTTAGTGTGCTCGCTTGAGTTTTCCTATGTTCACGACCTATCCTTTCGCCTTCTTCACTTGTCCCTATCTCAAAATACTTCTTTTACCCCCTCTTGGAGAAGACGCGTGCTCGAGGCTGGTTCCTCAACCGCAGCTATGAAGGGCATTATCTCCGCGACTCTGGCCTCCGTTCTGGTCGGAACCGCTCTGTCTCAGTCATCTCCAAACACCAGGGACGAGTCCGCTACGGAGCGTGTATGGTCCTCCATTGCATGGGTTATGCATGGTGACCGGAGTCCTCTCGATGTACCCGGTTTTCCTCCTAATTTGACTCCCCTAGGTGCTCAACAACTCGTTGATCGAGGCCGCGTTCTTCGCAATCGTTACATAGTGGCTGCTCAAGAACCGGATAGTTTTGACGTTTCCAAGCTCATCGGAGCCAAGCTCGTGGGCCTAAGCACAAACGCCATCGACAACACCCAGCTTGATATCCTTGCGGGCGCAGATGGTTACAACTTTCACAGTGCTTTGGCCCTCATGCAGGGCCTCTACCCCCCATCAACACGTGTGTTTAATGGGACGGATGGTATAGCAGCCGCTCTTCTTGCCAATACCGAGATATTGGATTATCCTCTGGAAGGATATCAATATCCGGTTATCAGGTCACCGTCAGTCGACGATCCTGAATTTGCTTCGTAAGAGAACTCCATAATCACCAATCTAGATAAGAAAGATGGCTAACAAACATGACTTCTAGCGTGGACGCAAATAAACTCTGCCCTCAGTATCTACACTCTTTGGACAGCTTTGAAAACGACACTCGGGTGGAGAAGACCTATAACGAGACACTGGTCTTCTACAAAGCGGAATGGGAAAGGATCTTCCACGGTAACAACATCGCGTACCCCTCGGATCTGGCAGACTACCATCACGCTTACGAATTCTATGACCACGTCCAGTATCTCTACGTACACGACAACGCCACGAAAAGTCAACTGAACTCCTCCTTTGTCGAATACATGGGCAATCTCGCAGCTACCGAGCAGCGTGAAAAGCATGGAAACTTGACAGTGTCTGGAAAGGAGGAAGGCGACAAGATCCGCGCCATTGCAGGCCGCACCATGGCTGGCAAAGTTATGGAGTGGTTCGACAGCAATCTTCAGACAGAAGGACACACTAACAAGCTCAATATGGCCTTCACCTCCATAGAGCCCTTCTTTGCGTTCTTCTCTCTGTCAGGCTTGATAGATGGTCCATCTGGTAACCAGTTCCGAAGCCATGTTCCCAACCCTAGTGCAGCGATGATTTTCGAGCTCTTCTCCAAAGGCGACAGCGACTCGGTTTACCCTCCTGACGAGGATCTCTGGGTACGGTTCCTTTACGACGATGCCAAGTCCGGCTCCCTTCCTCGAGAATACGCCCTCTTTGGCAACGGGAACTCGCAATCAGTCATGTCTCTCGCCGAATTCAGACATTCCATGGGAGAGATTGCCCTCAATTCATCTTCCCACTGGTGCGAAGTCTGCGACAGTTCTGCCTCTTTCTGTCTCGTGGCCAAAGGTGCCACCGGAGGCGACGACAACAAGGGCGGCAGCCCCGACTCTAGCTCATCCCTCGTCTCCCACGATAGCCAGGGTCTCCAAATGGACCCCACCATAGCCGGCGCCATCGGGGCCGCCTCAGCAGTTGCCGTCATCGGACTCGGCTTTCTCGCAGCCACCCTCTGTGCCGGTCTCCGCTTCCACCGAGCCGGCTCGGAGAAGAGGCGCGAGCAGGAGCGCATGATTCGCATGCTGAATCTAGGCAGCGCGTATAACAATGACAACAATCGGGCAGCGGCGCCTGATGCCGACGTGACGTACGGCAGGAACGGAATCCGACACGAGCGCGTAGGAAGCTGGGAAATGCACAATGGATTTGGTACGAATCCGTATGGTACGAGCAACACGGATCGTACCGCGGGGCTCGATCGCGTTTATACCAATGATGCTGGATTTTACTCACCTAGACCCGGCGGCAGCTCGTCGAAGCGACCGGTAGAGGATGACCAAGCAAGCTATTTTGGCGCTGTGCCGACGAAGCCGAGGGACTTCTCCTTGCGAGATGGTGAGTGAGTGAGTGAAGGAGTGAGCGGTGCTGGGTGGTACCTTTTCAAATACGTTGATCTTTTCTTTTCTTTTTGCTTACTATCGCCCTCATTTCCCTCTTCTCCCCTTGAGCACTTCATATTGTTTACATGGCACCCGGTATTTTGCATTGGGTTCGGGAGGTCTTGGGAAGTTAAAATTATCAGGTGGCGTTCAAAGGAGATGGGGGTAGGATTGGGAGTGAGTGGGTTTGTTTACTTTCTCCCTATTTTCCCCAGTCCACGTTACATTCGACGATTACGAATCACCGAGTGCTAGGTATGGAGCAACATGGCTATGGGTGTTCGGGACTCGGGAGCGATCGGGAGCTCGTCAAAGCTTAACCGGTGGCTGAGCAAAGGGATATCATATCATCTGGCCATAATGTGGTGGTATGGAGGGCAATACCAGTTGGAATACAGTCGCTTGTCGAAGCAGCTTTGAGTTGGTTATTTTATTATTATGTTTTTTTCTCGTCGTGTGAATAGCACATCCCTTACCTCACATGCACATGGATCGATGTGAATGACATCTGAAGAGTGAGTGGCACCCCCTTAGCACTGAATGCACCCTCCTCCCTCCTTACTTTCTCTTAACTCTCAACGCAACCACGCAACTTGAATCCGATGCCTTCCTAATATTACACCTTCATCACTCGCACCTCCCACGCGTTTAAGCGAGCTGGGACAAAACGGAATAAAAAAATTTGAATTTTTTTTAAAACTTTTTTAGTTTTCAACTTTTCTTTTTTAATTTTTTTTCTTTTTTTTTATTTGAAAAGAAGGGCGATAACGACGACGACCACAACGACGACCTCGTGACTCTGTCTCTGTCCATCTCTGCAAGTGCGGTCAAGGGCGACGAACGAACGGATGAGAAAAGCCGGGAGGAGGTTATTGGTCACGGGATCATCGAAGTCAAAGGCAAAAAGCATGTGAGGCTTCGGCTTTCCTTCTCAACCCTTAGTACACACATTACAAACGAACGAACGAACGAGCCAACGAATCCTTCCCCGTGAGGCGTGGGTGGGCTTGTAGATGGAGCCCTCTTTTTTGCTCCTCCTCCTCCTCCGTAATCGCAGTCGCAGTCGCGGTCTACGCCGCCGTTCACTTCTGTGCTAGGTAGCGGTCGGAATAATACCTGGTGTTATTAGGGGGGTGGAGACAGCATGTTCCTAGGGCTCTCGTCGGTCGGTATTTTATTTCTTTCTTTCGCCGGCGTCAGCCAAGAAAAGATGTGATGGAGTCATAGATGGAGGTGGAGCGGAGCTGTATTGTATCGTATTGTAACGAATTTTCAGGTAGGTCTCCAGTTCTCCAGACTCCACGCCCGCGATCTCGGGATCTCACACACACCCACACACCGTTCGGTATTTAGTACGTGCATTGGTGTGTTGTTGTTTTTTTCTTGCTATACCACAACCGAATGATACTTTGTGCGGTTTGAGTTCGAAAGTGGGTAGTTTGACGACCTAGACGGCGGAGACAATCAGAGAAGAAATTACCATCTCAATGCGTGGCAGTTCAAGTTGTGGATGGGACGTATCGATGTGAAGGTACAGAGGATTACCTAGCCCACGTTAGTTTCTTTGTTGCCTACGATCACCGAGCGGAAACGAACTGCGAAACTGGGGAGGGAGGGTCGAAACAGGCATGTTAGTGGTTTGAGATAATCACGTTATGCCTTCCACTTTTGTTCTCTTTTTGAGAGCAGACATAGATATTTTGAAGCTGGGGATGTGGTGCACTAACGGCAGTTATGGTGATCGAGTGGGATAAATATACAGCCCAGCGGTGAGAGCCCGACTGGCGATGAACATTCACCGTCTCCGCAAAACGATGTCATCATCACACAAAAGAACTTGAACACAGCCCGTTAAAGATACAGACTCTGAAGTCCGTTTCGTTTTCGCAACTGTCATGTTTCAAGCTTTTCCCCGAACGAACGGGGAAAGTCGAGTCTATCGGAGTGCAGATCCGGGGAAAATGCAACTGACAAAAAGCTTGGCATTCAGGGCGGCAAAAGAGGCCTTGCTTTCTGATTGGACGCTTCCTGGCGTTACATCTCAGACGGGACTCTTTCTACTGCGTAACAACTGGACTGGGACGGTTGGATGGACGGATCGATGGAGGAAGCATGCATACATATTATATTAATGCGAATGAAATTGATTTGATGGAGGGCGAGGGCGGCTTTGCATCTTGTTTCGGAAGGACACGCCCGTTGTTGGTTTCGAATTTAAGGTTAGTGGAAGTCAAAACCTGGGGCAGAAAATGTAGATAGATATCCTTTGATCCGGGGAGAGTCAGATCTGCTTTGTACCCCAGAGAGAGCTTTTGCCTAGAAGAGCAGGTTGTATTGTATTGTAGTTCTTCCATGGACATCTAGAAATCCACCGCTCTGAACAAAAATACTGACTGTGTTCGAAAGTGCTTGCTTGAATAAGCACACGTCGGTAAAATTCGTGAGTAAATTTTTTATTTATTTTTCTTCATTCCAGATTACAAACACTTTGCGCCGTACCTATATCTATGCATGCCTTATCTCTTCTCTCCTCGCGGGGTCCTCAACGACTCGTGGCTATACACTACAGTCACCATCTCCACAAATATCCGGTCAGCCGGAGGAGGGTCGTGGTACCTAGTCTGTTCAGGTGTGTTGCAGTTGGGGCCAGGAGGACTGACCCAACCTGAACTAGGTAAGAGTTCTCCAATCATCATCATCATCACCAGACTCTGGTTTTCTACAGAATACAGTATGATCTGCACTGTAATGCAGGTTGGTTGACTGCACTGCAGTGCATTGGATGGCGGCGGCCCCCATGTGCTGCCTGCGCTCGTGGCTTTCACATGCCTTTTTTTCATCCAAAAGAATGCGGCATCAGCGGCAGCCGTCTGAACAGTTATGCCATGTACCTTACCTACTGCGGTTTGATGCACGTACATTTTCTTGACATTAGCGGGTAGCCCGACTACATCCTTTCTCTTTTCAACATGAAATCTACATTCGACAAGGCCCACTCTCTGTCTAGAAAACAATCCAAGGAAAAAGACTTGTAAACGAGATGGACGAGGTCCAGTGGAGTTCAACCCCAGAATGGAGCACAGGCTTGGCCTGGATTCTTCTGGAGCCGGACCCATGCCCGTCCAAGTCCCAGTGGTCACCCCGCAAACTGAATGGAGTCTCCTTGGGCCAATGAGACCCACTCGGCACGACTCGTCTCATCCCGCCGTCCAAGTCCCACGAATGCCGTCCGCCGCACACTACCGTCGCCTTTGACGGCCTCCGCTTGTCCGAGCAAGATCCCCACGATCCCCTTCCAACGTCCACTTGGCTGTGATACCCTACGCCGCCGCCGCTCGTCACTGGCCAGCCCAAGAAGCAAGCTAGCCTGCACATCTTCTCGCTCCTCGCTTCTCGGGCCGCCGCGATCCAGTCCACCGTCTCTGCAACTGGAACCTCGCGCCTTCAAGCCCTCAAAGTTACCGGCGAAAACGACTATCTTACCGGTACCCGCTGCCTTCCCATTCCCCATTTTCAGGTATGTACGTAACCAAGCTATCTTTACACGTACCATCCCCCCGGTCAGGCCAAGGGCTCGACGACCACCACAACGTCATTGTCGCCAAGGGGTGTGAACGACAATCCCATCCCATCTCCAGCACATGCTTTGATCCTACGGGAAAAGGGCTTAATGGGTTTTAGTTCAGTCTGGGGAACACGTGTGTACATGACCAAGGCAGCTGACCAGTGACCACATAGGGCTACAGCTATTCAGGACTCTCAAGATATTTTGGAAACTCAGAGAGGGTTTGCCTATTTTGGGAGCTAGCAATCATCCATCTGCTCTCATCTTAATTCGAAAATTCCAATCCTGACCCATTCTACTATCATCCTCATCCATTGCCCAAGAGGTCTGATACCACCGCATATTCTACTACCGAAAGAAAGAACTCAAGATTGGTTGGAACCTTCGCTATCTGTTACGGTACGTTGTACATCCCCTGCTTGAGCTTCCCTTCTTTGCTTTTGTCAGACCCTACGGGCTACGGCAGTTCCACGCATCTGGACCAGTTGGGCGCATTCCATATCGGGTGCTCGGACTTGCGGAGAAAACAAGACGAACCCCTGAAGATTGGACGGGTTACCGCTACATTCACGGTATTCACACCCCCAGGGGGGCACTTCCACTTGCAGACGCGCACACCATGGCTGGAGGAGGGCCACCGAACGAGCTACCACATGCTCCAGTGCCTCCTCTCGCTGTCACAACAACCCTCGGCGTCGTCTTTTGGTGCCTCGAACTGCTATCTCGGGCTCTTCTTACTCCTCCATGGGAACAAGAGGTAGTTCCACTTCGTCCCCAGAGCTCCATGACTGTCACTAACTGTACACACTTCCCGGCTTGTCCGCTACCTACGTCTGTGGGTCTGGCGCTGTTCTTCGCTCCCGTCTGCCTGCTCCCCTTGCTCCCCTCACCATGCCCATGCGGCTTACATACACCCTGGCAATGTACCGGGGTACATCGGATACCCTCCTCTCCAGAGTCCCCTCCCCAGCTCCCACTTCCCCTTCGTATAGTTATACCTTCAAAAGCCCGGCCGAGAACCGGACCCTTTCCCTATCTTACATCCTCCCATTTTCCTTCAAAAGGATATCCAGACCGCCGATTTTATTCCCAGTGGCATACCGCCTTATTGTCTTCAAGACTGCCATTTTTCTCCCGTACAACCTAGCGTGGCTTCAACATTAGCACTCGAGTCTCAACTTGATACGCCTAACTACTACGCTCATACACACACACAGCCTGGAGCTACCTCGCACCAAACTAAACTGACACAATGACTCTTACTGAAGTTCGCACTTTCACTCCTCCGAGAGCTTTCGGTGACGCTATCAGCCAACCAGTTGTCACACCAGTCATCACAACTTCGACAACACCGCGCTCCATCCCCGAACTCCAGATCACACTCAAGCCCGCCATCAGCCCATCACCAAAAGCACGTCAGAACAGCATGGCCTCTACTCCTGAAGAAAAGTCCAAAGGCGGCGTAACATTTGCCCACCAGGACAAGCTCCCCAAGCTTCCTATCCCAGAACTCGAAAGCACCTGCCAAAGATATCTCGCCTCCCTAAAACCGCTTCAAACCCACAGAGAACATGCCGAGACAAGGCGCGCTGTTCAGGAGTTTCTTCAAACAGACGGCCCCGAGCTGCATGAGAAGTTGAAGAAGTATGCCGAGGGACAGACAAGCTATATCGAGCAATTCTGTAAGTCTCTTCCGACACAAAGGTCCTTTACAGTCCATGTTTGGCTAACACGTCTTCAGGGTATGATTCGTACCTCAACTACGACAACCCCGTTGTTCTCAACTTGAATCCCTTCTTCTTACTCGAAGATGATCCGACACCGGCTCGCAACAACCAAGTCACTCGGGCCGCCTCCTTGATTGCGTCGGCTTTGGAGTTTGTAAGGGCAGTCCGCAGGGAGGAGCTTCCACCAGACACTGTCCGGGGAACCCCCCTAGACATGTACCAGTACTCACGCCTCTTTGGTACCGCTCGTGTCCCCACCGATTCCGGATGCCAAATTCAGCAAGATGACAAGACGAAGCACGTTGTCGTCATGTGCCATGGCCAGTTCTACTGGTTCGATGTTTTGGACGATAACTCCGATGCCATCATGACCGAGAAGGATATCGCCATCAACCTCCAGACCATCGTTGACGACGCCCGACAAACCCCGATTCAAGAGGCTGCCAAGAGCGCCCTCGGTGTATTGAGCACAGAGAACCGGAAGGTCTGGTCGGGACTGCGGGACGTCCTGACCAGGGATCCCGGTTCCAACAACGCCGACTGCCTGAGCATAGTCGACAGTGCTCTTTTCGTTGTCTGCCTGGATTATACGGAGCCAACCACCGCTGCCGCTCTTTCTCAGAACATGCTTTGTGGCACCAGCGAGATCGAGAAGGGAGTCCAGATTGGCACCTGCACCAACCGCTGGTATGACAAGCTTCAGATCATCGTGTGCAAGAACGGCAGCGCCGGTATCAACTTTGAGCACACCGGTGTCGACGGTCACACCGTGCTGCGGTTCGCCAGCGACATCTACACCGACACCATCCTCCGCTTTGCCCGGTCCATCAATGGCAAGGCTCCCTCGATGTGGGCTTCAACGAGTCCCGACCCGTCGAAGCGTGACCCTGAGAGCTTCGGAGACGTGAGCACCACCCCCCACAAGCTCGAGTGGGACATGGGTCCCGAGCTCAGCGTGGCCGTCCGCTTCGCCGAGACCCGCCTGGCCGATCTCATTGAGCAGAACGAGTTCCAATGTCTCGACTTCCACGGCTACGGCAAGAACTTCATCACCTCCATGGGCTTCTCCCCGGACGCCTTTGTGCAGATGGCCTTCCAAGCAGCCTACTACGGCCTCTATGGCCGCGTCGAGTGCACCTACGAGCCTGCTATGACCAAGATGTTCCTGCACGGCCGCACCGAGGCCATCCGCACCGTCTCGGACGACTCAGTCAACTTCGTCCAGACATTCTGGGCCGACGCCCCCGGGGACGCCAAAATCGACGCCCTCCGCAAGGCCTGCCAGGCCCACGTCAACAAGACCCGCGACTGCGCGAAAGCCCAGGGTTGCGATAGGCACTTGTACGCCATGCTTTGCCTCTGGCAGCGGATGCAAGACGACGACGCGGCCAGCACCACCAGCGACAACAGCATGAACGGCTATTCTTTCGAAGACGGCTCCATCATCGGCTCGCCATCCAAGGACTCTGTCTTCTCCCAATCCATGGAGTCTCAGTCTGTCAACGGCGGTGGTCGCGAACGTGGCGACTCCATCAACTCCCACATCTCCGCCACCCCCTCCCAACGCGGTGGTGTACCTCAACCACTACCCGCCATCTTCGCTGACGCCGGCTGGGACAAACTCAACACCACCATCCTGTCCACTTCCAACTGCGGCAACCCGTCCCTCCGGCACTTCGGCTTCGGCCCCGTCTCCGGCGAAGGGTTCGGTATCGGCTACATCATCAAAGACGAGTGCATTTCCATCTGCGTGTCTTCTCGCCATCGTCAGACCCGCCGCTTCGTTGACACTTTGGAATCCTACCTGCTTGAGATCCGCCGCATTCTGCGCATCGCTGCAAGGAACGCCGCCTCCGCCGGTGGTGTTGGTGCCAACGGTACTACCGGAAACAAGGGTATGAGCAGGGCTCGGGAGATTGACGCGGCTGCTATCAACCAGAATGGACAGGAAAAGCTGGCTCGCCCCAAGATCGGGAACAGGATCAAGTCGAGGGGAAGATTGATCACCGGTCAAAGCAGCGGGCTTATTGGTCACGGAGGACCAACGAGCATGTACACCAATGGAGGCGGCAGCAGTGTGGGGAACATTAAGGGGGCGGGAGGGGGTAGTGTTAGTAGCGCGATGGAGGAGAGCGTGGTGATGAGTGAGGATGATGAGATTGGTGGTTGTAAGTTTTATTTCCCTTTTTCTCCCTCCTTACGTAAACAAGACGCACAGGCTAACTGATATGCTTCGTTCTGACAGATGGGTTCTTCGACGCCGGTATGCTCCAACAAGCGCTCAAGGCGCGCCAACAGGCTCACTACCACCATCATTCCCACAACCATGATAGCAGCAGTGATGACCGGAGTAACCAGAGCAGACAAAGGAGGAGCAGGAGGGATGTGGGCAAGAAGCTGCCTTTGATTGATTACTAGCCTCCCGCTACACATTTCATATTATTGATTTTTCCATTGGTCTTTGGTTTAAGGGTTATGGTTGGGTTAGCGCTGTTTTCTTTTCTTTTGTCTTTTTTGGATGTTCTTGGATTCTAAAGTACCGCGATGAAGAGAAACACAGATGATACCTACAGCTGAGAGAGAGAGAGAGAGAGAGAGATGGCATATTTTGAGGCGTACCGTACATATCCTTTTTAGAACACGCCGGCGGTGAATAAAATCTATTCTCAGCTGATGTTTTACTTTGTCTACTCAGTTCTTTTGTACAATGACAAAGCGCGTTACCGACAGAAAGTGATCAAGGCTACTTAGAAGTTCATTGAACCTGAGGATCTAAAGACCAAGTACAACAATTAAGGATAGGGGGGAACCTGAGCCAAATATCTAAGAAAGACACCATAAAAAATTACATCCTGACGACGCATAACGGACAAAACCCCGGAGACCGAAGCATCAGTAACCCATGCAGCAGAGGTAAGTTAAACCAGACCAGACCCACAGACACAAAGAATGCCGGCGATAAAAGATGATGGAGGATAATAATGCATGCATGATTGTGTTGATAGAAAACGGTATAAAAATTTCAATTAACTCTCTTCCCAGAGTCCATATGCCAAATGCCAAAATAAAACTCCTCTTCCTGTTTTTCCTTTCCCCCCCTCCCTTCTGAATCCGGATCCAGGCACCGGTAAGTAGGTATAATATACCTTGGATTACTACTGCCCCTCCATCACCATCAGCTTTACTTCCCTGTCTTTACCTCTACCCCGGCGCCGCCCTCTCTTCGTCCCCCTCTTTTTCTTCAGGCTCTCCTTTTCCTGCTTCTCATCATTGTTCTCAGCGGAAGAGGTCGCACCGGCGCGGGCGATGTTCTCTGTCACGTGTACGAGTGGCGGGCGACTCGGCTTCTCTTTCTCGGTATCCTTGGTCTCTTCACCACGACCACTACCATCAGCTACCACAGCAGCAGCAGCGGAAGAAGACTTGTTCTTTCTCTTCCTGTCTCTATAACGCCACTAACGCGCGCTGCCGCTGCCCTTGATGGCTTGCCTCCGCTTGACCTTGTCGGTGATACGAGTGAGCGCCGACTTTATCTCGCCCTTCTCAAAGGTATCGAGGTCGTAGTAGACGGGGGCAATTTCCTGGTTTACATAGGTCAGTTTCAAGATGCCATTGACAAAGGGAATTAATAAAAGGGGAATACGTACAAGAAGCCACTCAGGACGAATGTTGGTCACTGTCCTGACGTACTGCTTGGTTGTGAGAACGAACTCGTTATAGACGACCCAGTCGTATGGGCTCGTCACCGACGTGCTCGGGTGGATCATGACGAGCTGGTCGTCCTTGACCGTCTTGTACACCTTGCTGTTGCTGCTCTCGCGCATGGCCACCTGCATGAAGAAGCCGGCCAGGAGCGCGCGGCGGATGTTGGTGTAGTAGTTCTTGTCCTGGAACGGCGTGCTGACCAGGCTAATGTCGTGCGTCTCCATAATACGCTTGAGCTGAGCCCGGACGTTATCGGCGCTCGACAGGTGACGGTATGAGAGGAAGTGCTCGTGGCACCAGCGCTTCATGTCGTCGCCGTTGGTCTCGGCACCCTTGTAGGCATGGTAGGCGTTCAGCAGCGTCAGGTGGTCGCCGTCGGGGTGGGCGAACTGCATCTTCATCTCGTCGGCCCGCTTACGCGCGTTGTTGGGGCGTACCCATATCGAAGGGACGGAGAGGAGGGACACAATGGAAAGGATCTCGTTGGAGCAGTAGAACTCGGGCGACGAAATAAGCATGACGGCGAGGGCGGGGTCAAGCGGGAACTCGGAAGCCAAACCACCGAGACGCGTAAGCTCACCATCGTCATCTAAGCAGGCGAGGTAGTTAAGCTCCTCCAGGGCACGCATCATGGTCTCAGGCGCGGGAGGGTCCATGAGATCAAAGTGTACCAAATCCTCAACACCAAGCTTCTTCAACTCCAAAACAGTGTTGGCCAGGTTGGACCGGAGAATTTCAGGATAGGTTTGCTCAATAAGTTCCTTCTTGAAAGCCTTCTCGGTGTAGAGACGGAAGCATTTACCGGGCCGTGTACGACCAGCACGACCAGCTCTTTGCTGAGCAGAGGCCTTCGAAATAGGAGAAACCAACAAGGACTCAACACGAGAGCGGGGGTTGTAAATCTTTTGCTTGCTGAAACCGGGGTCGACGACGTAGACGATACCATCGATTGTCAAGGACGTCTCGGCAATATTGGTCGAGACAATGACCTTGCGACCAGGCCTGCCACCCTTGCGCAGGGGCTCGGGGGCCTTTTCGAAAATGCGCTGTTGGTGCGCAGGAGGGAGAGTGCCGTAAAGAGGGTAAACCTTCATGGGGCCAGCATCCGACTCGCGAATCATGTCGTCCACCTCCAAGCTGATTCTTCGGCAAGCATCCTCAATCTCCTCCTCACCAGTAAGGAACAGCAAGATGTCTCCCTCGGGTTCAGTGGCGTGAATCTGGAGCACGGTCCGTACGGCGGCCTCGAGGTAGTCACGCTCGGGCTCGGGGGTATAGAAGATCTCGACGGGATGGGTACGACCGGGGACGGCGAGCAATGGGGCGTTGTAGAAGTAGGACTGGAACTTTTGGGCATCGAGCGTGGCAGACATGACAATAATCTTGAGGTCTGACCTGCGGGCGGCGATCTGCTTGAGCAGGGCCATGAGGATATCGGTCGCGAGAGTACGTTCGTGGGCTTCATCGAGAATGATGCAGCTGTAGCGGGACATGTCGTGGTCGTGCATGGACTCGCGCAGGAGCTGACCATCCGTCATGTACTTGAGCATGGTCTTGGGGCCGGTCCGGTTCTCGAAACGAATGCTGTAGCCGACTTCCTGGCCCAGTTCGACATCCAACTCGTTCGCGACACGCTGGGCAACCGACATGGCCGCCACCCTTCGGGGCTGGGTACAGGCGATGAGCTTGCCGTTCGTGTGGGGGAGCTCGTCGTAGAGGACGTATTGGGGGATCTGGGTGGTCTTTCCGGAACCCGTCTCACCGACGAAGACGAGGATCTGGGTGTTGTGGTACATGTCGAGGAACTCCTGGCGCTGCTTGTGGACGGGGAGGTCGCGCCTCACTTTGAGGATGTCGAAGTATCTCTGCGAGTGCGGCTGGCCGGTCCACGGGTTGAGCTCCGAGTCCTCGGCCTGGGCGGCCTGGACGGCCGTGGTCTTGTGCCTCTCGAAGGCGTCGAGGGGCGATTCGAAGTCGCTGCCGTCCTCGTTGAGATGGGCGAGGTAGGGGTTGTACTTTTCGGGGGCAGCATCGCCATTCTCGGCACGCTTGATGCGCTTCGAGTCCTGGTCGTTGTCGTCCATGTTGGATCTCTTGACGCCTTTGTCGTCGTGGCTGGCCATTGTAGTACCGACCGAGGGCAGCTGGCCTTTTTTTTATATCTTGTTTTTCGAGCGAGAGGGGTGGGTACTAGTAAATAAAACAAGAAGACCGAACTGAAGGGGAAGAAGAGAAGCGGCGATAGGCAAAACAGAAGGCGGAGTGTCGATTATGGCACCTCCAGTGGCAGTGATGAACAACAGCGAAACAGACGGAGTGGAGGGCAGTGGGCAGGCATGCGAGGCTACAACTTTTTTTTTTGTTTGATGTCAGGGCGATCAGACCTGGCCGGCAGTTCCTGGCCGTAGCAGCTCTCGACCAATGAGAAGTCGCAGTGATAAGCTTTAGTGGAGTAAGGAGTGTCTTTGGCAAGCGCTGATAAGCAGTCCACTGTAGTGTAGCATTGGACAGGACCCTGATGGGCACTAAGACGGTAATCTTTTGCACTGTTCTGTGACTGTCAGGTTCATTCAGTTTGTTCCTGCCGCACGCAACGAAGGAAAAAAAGAGGCAAAACGCAAGCAACTGAAGTTGATGAAGTTTGTGACATTGTGACAGTGCGACTTTTGGGCGTATTAGGTTTGTAAAGAACCGTTCCTTCCACTCAGTTACCTATTTCATTCCTCCATGTACCTACTACTATCCATACCCCTCCATACACTAGACTTACTTGTTTACTTTGAGTTGGGGAGCGTCGAGGTTTGACTTTTCCCTCTGGCGCTTCTTCCCTGGAAATATCCACTGCCATGGGGTCAGTCCGTTTTGGAAAAAAAAAAAAAAAAAAAAAAAAAAAAAAAAAAAAAAAAAAAAAAAAAAACAGTTCCATGCAACTTTGATTCCAGTCTTTTCAATTTTCCCTGTGATTGGGTCCGATACCTCATCAAGGTACAGCCCGTACATTCTTCTACTGTATACAAGCCCCAGAGACTAGTATAGCTACCTTCTCTGTACCCCTCCCGCTGCTGTTTGTACCACCTCAAACCTAACCTAGAACACCGCGGGGTTGTTTACTTCTAGTCTCGTCCACTCTCTTTCACTCACTCGGATTCACAAAAAAGTCCAGTCACTCACTCATCATGTCTTCAAATCGCGGGTTCAACCCCGAGTCCGAATCTTTCGAGCAACGGCCGCCCTTTTACATTGGCCAGCATGATATCCAACGACATGAGTCGCCCACTGACAGTCAGTACGGCCAGATCTTGGACAGTGGTGTAAGTCTTTGTTCATACCAAAGTAGAGAGGGAGAGAGAGAAGGATGAGCAACAACAGAAATATTAACAAACGAGAGATGACATAGTTCAACTTTGTCACCACCCCCATCACCAACGAGCACTTTCACCAGCGCGTGATCGACTTGTACAAGAGCCATCTCCAAGAACGGGAACAGTGGGTCACCGAACGGGGACTCACTGACGCCCAAAAGGCCAACCCTTCGCTGCCACTTCCTACGGTCCCTACCTTGACTGACGACGATACATCCCTGTTTCCCAGCAGCTATGTTGGCTCGCTCATCGCCTACGCCAGCCCATGGATCGACCTCTGCTCTGCCGATCCCATCATCTCAGACATCTCCCGTCAGGTGCTGAACCTCGAGCTCGCCTACGCCAACTTCTGCGGCTCCAGGACCATCATTATCCCCGGCCCAAGACAGGACGATGGCCGTGCCGTTGCTCAGTATGCACGTGCCATTCAGGAGGCTCAGGAAGTCGGTGGTCGTGTGAATCTGGTCATTCACTTGCCCATGTACCGCGAGCCTGGTTTGGAGGAGGAGGCAGAGACGCTTTCTTCTCTCCTTGCTGGTGACGGTAGTAGCAGCTCCAACTCCAAGGAGGCCGTCAAGACTGATGCTGCCAAGGGCACCGAGATCGATCTCTTCAGCACCTGGGACAGTTGGCACACCATCCGGACCGTCTGCAAGTACAGCGGTCGTCTGTTTGTTGCCCTGCGCATTCCCAAGCGGGTACCTGAAAAGGACCTGCAGGAGCGCTGGTTCTCCGAGCCGCTGCACTACCTGACCCTCGATAAGAAAATTTTCTCGCTGAACAAGGCCGGTCATCCTTCCCTTACCCGCCATCATCAGGACTTGATCAACCGTTATATGCGCCTTAAGAACCACCCGTGGCTAATCCTGATTAATGTCGGTCCGTCGGCGGAAAGTGTCGTCGAGGCCCCCAGCAAGATGGAAGTTGACTTCCCTCCCTTGTCTGAGGCTAGCAAGGCAGTCAAGGAGAACCGCAAGCCGTATGCTCCTCCCTACAACGAGTACGTCGACTACATGAAGTATCTCGAGAGACACCAGCCCCCTTACTCGGCCATGGAGACTCCTTCGCTCGTCAGCTTCCAGGACTGGCTCCAGTCCCCTCTCCAGCCGCTCTCCGACAATCTCGAGTCGGCCACGTATGAGGTCTTTGAGGGCGATCCGGTCAAGTACGATCAGTACGAAAAGGCCGTGGCCGAGGCCATGCTTGAGTGGAAGAAGTACAACCAGCCCGTCTCCTCCGTGACGCCCGAGACACCCGACGGCAAGGACCTGATCGTGGCTGTCGCCGGCGCCGGCCGCGGCCCCTTGGTCGCCCGCGTTCTCCGGGCCGCCGCATCCACCAACACCCCTATCCAGCTCTGGGCTCTAGAGAAGAACCAGAACGCCTACGTCTACCTCCTCCGACGCAACAAGCGCGAGTGGAACAACTCGGTAACGGTGATCAAGACCGACATGCGCGAGTGGGAAGGTCCTCGCCTCGCAGCCAACCCCAACATTATTACCAAGCTTGACATTCTCGTGACTGAGCTCCTCGGTTCCTTTGGCGACAACGAGCTTTCCCCGGAATGCCTCGACGGCATCCAGCGGCACATTGCCCGCCCGCACGGCATCTCCATCCCCTACTCGTATACCGCCCATCTCTCCCCCATTGCGCACCCGCGCATCTTCGCCGACCTGTCCAACCGCGTCGTCAGCGACCCCAACGCCTTCGACATCCCCTGGGTGACACGCCTGTTCCAGCTCGCCTACGTGGCCCAAAAGGTGCCCAAGCACGGCCGGTTCCAGCAGGCCTGGGAGTTCGTGCACCCTGTCGAGGTGTCGCGGGCCGACGACTTTTCTGCCCAAAACGGGCGCGCGCGCAAGTATGTTACTCACGGCAGCGGCAGCATGTACGGCTCCAGCGGCATCAACGAGCATAATGCTCGGCACTGCCATTTGACGTTTGTCTGTCCCACGAGAGGTGTGATTCATGGTCTGGCGGGCTACTTTGAGAGCGTGCTGTACAAGCATCAGGAGGAGGGCAAGACGCCAGTGGAAATTAGTATCTTGCCAGATCAGATTGATCGGAAGAGCAAGGACATGATTTCTTGGTTCCCGATTTTCTTTCCTCTCAGGGTGAGTTTTCTTTCTTGTGCTTACCTCATCGCTCTTCGCTCCTGTTTTGGTGACAATTACTGACCCGGTCCGACGATATACAGCAACCCCTCTACTTCCCTCAAGACACCGAGCTAGAAGTCAGCATGTGGCGCCAGACCGACGACACCAGGGTATGGTACGAGTGGATGGTTGAAGTGTATGCTTGGGTGGGTCCCAAGACCCGTATCAAGGTTGGCGCTTCTGAGATGCATAGCAGTCGTAAGGTTGCCTGCATTTTTGGTTAGAAGAGAGGAAATGTAAAAACGGAGGTAACTAGGTACCAGTAGGTGGTGGGCAAGGCTGGCTAGGTCGGGTGTTAGGGGTGTGTATGCAGCTGGAACAAACGCTGCGAGAAAAAGGTCAAAAGTCTTGTTTTAGCGAAAGATAAAAAGTTTCGAATTCAAATATTGGACGTAATGCTCATGATTGGGAAGCCGCGCGATGCGTATGATGATGATGACTGTCCCTGCCTGTAGTCGTGTGATTTGTGATCAAGTGGAAGTTGAGACTAACAGGATTTCACGCCGCTTGTTCTCTTCTTTTTAGTGAAATACCTGGAAACCAGACGCCATGTCCGTATGTCTAGCTCGTCCTGCCACTTTTTTTCTTTGCTCAGTAGATGATGGGTGGTCTTTCACAGATTTTTTTTCTCTCTTTCTTCCCTGTTACGTTGTTCCAAAATCTTCTTTCAGCCCTTATCTTCACTGCAAGAAAAGGCCAGATAGCACATAGTCCTTTAGCAGTCTTGCGCAGGAGATGCAAGGTCTCTACCAGACAGAGAGACGCTCGGTACCCATCCATCCACCGTTCACTCTCTTGAAGCAAATCCGCCCTTCCGTACCACTCTCCACATCATGCGTGCCCGATATGATCAGAGCTATTGTCGCACCTTTCGTGAAGCGCACTTTCATCATTGGGAAACGAGTTTTCGGCGAGCGGGTGGTTGTGGTTTGTGCTTCGGTTTGGCTCGGTTTGGTCGCCGGTAAAGTAGATCCATCTCTTCTTCTTCTTTTTCCCAGGGTATTATAATCGGAACATCACGACCCTCCTCACACATTCCTCCTGTCTGTTCTGCAATTCGCGCCCTTCACCCTGCCCGCTAGGCTACTACCCTTTCATTTCCTCCTGGTGGCGAGAGAACTTCACTCTTCCATCTTGACGTCGCCACTTGTTTCCGCCTCGTCGGCCTTCTTGATGTAGAGAACATTGTTACACCTGTTATTTTAGCCCATGATATTAGCATCCCGGCCAGTTGACACGCGATTGGGGATTGGGGCCGTCCGTATGTAAGCAGTAGCAGTGGGATACATCAAGCATGGACGTACCTGATCAGAACCTGCCCCAAGGCGCCCGTAAACTTGCGGTTGATGTATTCCTTTGTGTCGCTGAGCTGGATGTTCATGTAGCTGTCGATGCTCTGTTGTTCACATGCAAACGTATTTCGTCAGCCTCTCTCTCTCTCTTTATCCTTCGTTGCTTCTTGGCCCTGCCTGCTGGTTCCCTCCTCCCCTCCCCATCGCTTTCCATGACTATGTATGCCAAAACCAAAGTCCAGCGGCAAAGGGAGGCTAGATTGTAAGATACTGGATTAAAGATACGTACAACAAGACGGCCAACATACTCCGTCTCTCCCCACTTCAAGCGAATCGTCACAAAGCTGTTGACGAGATCTTGAAGGAAGGGACGGGGGTTAACTGGGACAAAAGACATGTTGTCGGTTTCGGTTCGAAGGGTTGGTTCTTAGTCAAGTGCGTGGCGCCTTGTGTGTGTTCACAGGCTTCTTGTTGTTGTTGTCGATGGGACGGCTTGAAAGTTGGATTCGCGATTCGGCTTGGTGCTGATGGAATTTTGTATTCGTCGGTTTTCTTGGGTTGGTCGGGTGGACGGGACAAGGTCGAGATTATGGTTACGAAAGGGTGGGAAGAGAAATGGAATTGGCGTTGATGCTATGATGGAAGAAGCTCCAACTGGGACTGTGCCTCCAATGATGGACCTTTGCGGCGTTGGAGTAGCGCGACGATGGAAGTTCCTCTGTTACGAGGGATGTGTGGAGCCCTGACGCGATACCTGATTGGACATGACACTAAGCCTGCCCGGGTTGGGTGTATACAGGGTTAGGGTTGGGGGTAAAAGGATACTCAGATGTTGTTGACGACGACGATGATGAGCATCACCAAGACCTTTGTGGCGATCGTTCTACTTGTCTTCACTTAGATACATAGCCAGGTATATTATTCTTATCGGTCACTCAAGTCTCCTTGGTAATATCTCTCCCTGATGATTTTCCGATACACACCTACACAGTCAGGTCAAGACCCTCGAAGACGCTGATGTTACAAAACGGAATGGAAGGAGACTGTTCAGCACCTGACATGAAATCATTTTGAATAAATATGGTCCCATGCTGGTTGAGGATCTTTTACTCAATCTCCTCAATCCTAGGTCGACCGCCAAACATCTCAACACCGCCACTCCTTCCAGCACTCTCACCACCACCACCACGGGAAACCGACCTCTCCGGGTCAACAACCAACCCAGCCAACTTCGTTAGCCCACCACCACCAAACCCTCCTCCTCTCGCCTGGCTCAACGACACTTCATCCACCAAGTTATTCATCTTCCAATTCTCCAAGCTCTCCAGCACATCCCGGCAATACTCCCTGACCAAACCATCCTCATCCGTCTGCTCCACATACCCCAGAATCGTCCTCAGCTGCTCCTGCGTCTCACTCCCAAACGCAATCCCCAACACCCTCCCCTCTTGCTTCGCCTCATCCATGGCCTTGATAAAGCTCATAATCAGCCTCACCGCCGCCCTCCTGAGTATCCCCTTCTCCAGCTGCCGCTCTACCTGCACAACATTAATGCACAGATCCACGCTGGCCATCGTCAACACCGCCCCGACACCAACGATATTCGTCTCGATGCAATTCGCCAGAATCGACAACGCAGAGGCACGAATCCTTACATCCTCCTCGCCCGTTTTGGAAGTACCAGACGACCACCCTTCCACAATCGCCTCCAAGATATCCAGCCTAGCCTGCTCCTCAGCAGAAATCGGATCCGCCATATCCGGCACGCTGCCGTCCCACGCGTCTTCGGCTTCTTTATGCTTCTGCTCCCGCGCCTTTGCCTCGCGCGCTTGGCGCGCCATGGTCTTGGGCCGGTGCCCCCGGCGCGACGCCAGGCTGATCAGGGCTTCACAAGTCATCTTAGCCAAGTCGCCGGTAAACGTCTGGCCCAGTCGGTCGACGACTTGGAGTAAGGCCTCGCCGAAGCGGAGGCGGGCGTCGACTGTCGCCAAGGCGGATTCGCGCGGGTCGAGGTAGCGGTCGATCAGGTCGGTGAGGACGGCGCGCGGGTGGGCGTTGGCTAGTTGGGTGTAGAGCTTGATGCAGCGGAGGTGGATGTAATCTTCTTCCGAAGAGTTGGGCTCGCAGAGAAGGGTGGCGAGCAGGACGAGGATGCCGGGGATGTCGAGAATGGGGGAGTGGGAGGTGATGAGGTTCGAGATGAGGTTGAGACCTTCGGAGCGGACGGGCGGGGGGGAATCGGGTTGGGTGATGTAGGAGATAGCGAGGGAGTAGGTCTTGCGGTCTTCAATTTGGCGGTCTGTGGGACCACCGGTTGTTGTGGTGGAAGAGGATGAGTCGGCGGCTTCGAGGGCGTCGATTTCGTCGCGGTAGCGCAGGAGGAGGGTGAGGTTGGAAGCTGTTTTGGCGTTGTCGTTGTCGCCTGTTTTGGAGAGGGCTTCAAGGGAGGATTCAATGACACGAAGGACATCAGGGTCGACACGCTTCTTTTGGAAGCCGGGGACGGTGATGACCATGTTGAGGAGACTGAGGGCTACTCTGATCACTTCGTCCTCCCCGGCCTCTTCCGCCGTATCTTTGTTGGCTTCCGAGAGCACCTGGCTGACTAGCTCGAGGATGTGTTTGGGTTGCCCGGCGAGTTTCTCGGGGAACTTTTCCATCATGGCCAGGAGAAGCTTGACCTCGGTGAACTGGGCTATCGGGTCTTTCTCCTCCTCTTCCTCTTTGATAATCTGAATCCCGCTCTTTTTCTGGCCTCGGGCTGACTTGAGCCACCGCCCGAAGAGATCGAGAAATGCTGAGGAGACATCGGCCTCGGAAAAAGTTGAACCAATCAACTCCAGCAGTTTGGGTATCTTTTGATCGATTTCTGGAAGTGAAAGGCCGATGTATTGCTCCCCTGGCTTTTGCAGAGGACGGTTGGTATCGACAATTTGAATCTCTCCTTGTTCGGTTTGCTTGTACACCCACTCGGGTTTCTTCTTGTCAAAGCCACCCACGTAAGCCAGGTTGTGGACGAGCGCTAAAAGGACAGGAGCAGAAGGTGAAAGCTTGAGGAAGATCTTGAGTAATTCCGAAGCGGGTTCCGTAATCTTTTCGCTCAAAGGCTTCTCCGAGTTTGGCCAAGTGGTAAGTGCCCAGAGTGGCAGCAGTAAAGGAGAGAGAAGTCGCTTGCACAAGCCGGGATTCGGATGTGAAACGACCAGTGCGTGTAGTCGTTGTAGTGCAGTTACTAGGTCCTTCTGCTTAACCAGGACCTTGTCCTTGCTTAGGTCAATCACCTCGTCATCATCACCTGTCTCTGCCTTGGGTAATCCTCCCGGGGGTGGCTTGATGTGATGTAACAGGGGCTCTGCAAGGTATTTCCAGCCGGCGGTGCCTTGATCAGAGTTAGCATTCTGCCGCAGAAATATTTGGTTCTGCAACAAGGGGGTATACCTGGAGCACCAGAGACCTTGCGGCCCAGAATGCCGAATCCAATAACATAGGCAACAACCTTTTTGAGCTCAGGTCCCTCTCCTCCATCAAGCAGCGCAAACAACTGCGGTGCGATACCCGAGTACCACTCTTCCGGAGTTACGGTAGAAGGTGGTGACGATAACAAGTTACTGGCCAACACGAGGGCCTCATGAGTGATGTTGGCGCCTCTCTTCTGCGGTACAGCGGCCTCGGACAGCTTGACGGTGCTGGCAGGATGAACAGCAAAGGCAAATTCCAAACTCGCCCTAACGCCATCCTCACGGAGAGGTATCAGCGTCAGGTATTCCCTGAGCTTAAGGCGCAACCAGTCGGGGGTGTTGCCGGGCCTGATGAGGATGTTCAGAGAGGCCAGCAATGACAGTGTCTTGGTCCTGTAGTCACAGGTCAGACTGAGCCGGACACCTTGGGGCTTAAAGGTGAGGAGGCTTGCCTTTCAATGAGAGCCTCGAAATCACGAACAGCTTGCGCCCGCGCTTGCGAGTCACCCCTTGAGTCCGGGTTGAATGCTCTCCCACCGAGATCCATGATCTCCTCCATCAGCTTCTGGCGTGCAGTCTTTTCTGTCTTCTTCTTATCGCCGCCCCCCATGGCCTGCTTGAGCGCCTCGAGCTCTTCGGGGTTGGGATCTAGATTAGGGTCCGCCATCGTGACGAGTTGCGGTGGTTATCACCGGAAGAAGAGAAAAAAAAAAAAAAAAAAAAAAAAAAAAAGAAAGAGAATGTGAAAGACCGTCCTTCTTCAGGCTGTGAGAGGTGAGGATGCCGCAACAAGGGGAGTCGAGGACGTTGATTAATCAGCACTTGAATCGCGAGTGCGCCTCTTTGAATTCGTGATATTGAGAAGTCAACAGACTACCTATCTAGGGATATAATTGTAGTGTAGCATGGAACGGGCCATCCCAAAATGAACCTGATCGATGTGAGTGATCTGCCTGGAGAGCTGAGCGAGTTCAAGGCTTCAATTCGTTGCCGTGGCGAGGCGTGGAAGGTGAAAGAAGATTGGCCAATTAATTGTTAAACGTCCAGTGAAGTGCACCCGTGACTTCGCGCCTGCGTTAGGGACTTGGACCCGCCAGAGTGCAGGTGCTCACAGTGGGTCATCCTTACCTCAGAGACGCACGGTGCACATTGAGGCATGTGCACCTGCAGCGCGTTGCCAGTGCGTGGTGTCTCACACTGCCACAACGCGTCTTCCCAACCCACGTTCCCCTCCTTTCTCGGCCTTCCTTCTTCTCTTCTTTCAACCAACAAAGTCAACAACACCTTCGACCTCCAACGCCCAACCATATTGATCCTCGCAATGCCCGAATGGGCCCAACCACAAGTCGGTCTCTGTTTCGATCCTTGGAAACTCACCCGAAATACAGTTAGAAGTCAAGCCTGTCGAGTTACACAGTCAAAACGCGCTGGTCCGAACGACGACGACAGCCATTCCCATCGGGTCTTTCAGCCCTCTCGCTCAGAGCACGTCGCCTCCCCCACAGTTCTCCGATTCCAGTTTTCCCGTAAAGGAATGTCCCTGGTGGCCGCTCAGGTGTTCGGTTCTTCCGCAGTACGTCGCAGCTTCGAGTCCTGTATCAGGAGCCTTCTCAAGCTTTGCCGCGCATGGGATTACTGCGGATTTCGGGTTTTTTTCCCACCTTTTCCGGCGCCTAGAGTGAACTGGTCTCGGAACTTAACCCTAAGTATACACTGGTCACATCCCAAGTCTTGCGCGCTTCGGCAGTCAAATCTACCCTTCGCCTTCTACGTCTGCGTCACCGTGTGTTTGCCTCCGGGGTCTATGGCGCCGCTGAAAAGTTGCGTCCTCTGGGCTCTTGGTATTCTACTGGGTGGCAAGGGCTGACTGGCAAGGGGAGAAGTTTCCAGTCATCTTGTGCCGCTTCGGTGCGCAGATGGGCGAGGTGTCCGGTCCCATGAGTCAAAAGCCGGTAAGAACCTCTGGCCTGAGGTCGCTCGTCAGGACTGGACCACTGGACGCAGTACTCTGGTCACCATAGCGGGTTGTTCTGCACATGTCCCGTGGCTAGGTATACCGCGTTGGGGCAAGACACATTTGGGTGCCCTGCCATGCCTGTCATCCAGAAGTTCTTTCTGGCTCTGACTCGTGGGGCTTTACGTTCGCAACGCATGCTCTGTGGAGTGACGAGGGGAGAGCGAAGACATGGCTACATACGATCACATCCCTCATTTCATCTTTCGGGTCTTCAGCTTGCCTCGCCTGAATCACTGCACTCGTGTGGTGAGCGGAGGCTGCATGACTACAAACGGAAATGTTGGGAAGGATTCTTCCATGCCTGTCTGTCGCGCTCTCTGCACCCTCCGCTCTCTCTCTTGTATCGCATGCGCAGGAGCGGATACCCACTTGTACGTCTTCCTCCCGGATAACCTCCACCGACTCTGTGGAACCGCGTTCGGCAACATACCGTCAACGTGTCATTGGCTTGTGTGTCATTGAGATCCCCGGCCAGGCGCATTAACCGATTTGCACGTATGGCTTCGTCCTACGTCGCGATTTGGACGCCAGAACCATGTTTGTTCAAACCTTCGGTCCGCAAGGACAGAAGCTCTTTGGCAGACACCTTCCTTTCGACTGGGGTGCGCTGAAAAGTTCACTTCCGGGAGAAAGATGATAGCACGGTTTTTGAGGACGCATTTTGTCCGTGCGGCAACGCCCTCCTTTACACTTTCTCGCGTGGTGCGGGAGTGTGGAGAGGAAACAAAAGCTAGTCTCAGTTGGCAGTGTTCTACACACGGAAAGACTCATGGGACGGCTATCTCGACGATTCGGCTATCGATTTGGCTGCCGACACTTGACGACTACTATGTTGATGACGGTGCGGTATCTTATGGAGGGCTAAACAAGTCCATCATGACTTGCTGGTTTGGACTGTGAGAGTGATGGCTGGGTGTCTCAAGTATCCTCTGGGGGTGTCCGTGTCCGTTCCGGGGGGAAGGAGGGTGTTTTTGGGCCAAACTCGTTGAAAACCAATGCTTTTGCAGCCCTTGGATTTCGGGGGATGGTAGTTGTGGATCTCTAGGAAAGAGAACCAAAGGTCGGGACCCATCTCGAGTTGGAGTCAAAGTTTCGTACTTGTCTGGCCTTTGGACCCCCTCTTTCTTGGTCTTCACTCCTGGCCTAGTCTGTGTCCTTGCGGAGGCTGGCTTTGCTGTTTGAGGTTTTGGTCCTTTAGGACAGGGGACTGCCTTCCTGGAAAGTGGTCTCCGGTTGTTCCTCGTTCCTGGAAGATGGCGGGAGGAACAACCCCTCACATTTTTTGAGGATAAGTCTCCCTCCACTTCCATGCTCCGGTTTTCGATGCCATTCACATGGTCCGATGCTGACGTTCAAGTATAGGTATCCTAAACTCAAAACCGTAGAAGTGTGACCGGTGTCGGACGCCGCATTGGCAAATTGCCAAGTTCCTTTCTTTCCATCCGCACCGTGATTTTCAGCAAACGTCTGTGCGACACCGGGTGATATTGAGATGCGATGTGTGGGCTGTCCGCCGGTGTATCCAAGGAATGCCGGGCGTTTCGATATTGTCCGGGATGTTGGGCATAACAGGCCGGAAGTGTCGATCGGTAAGGTGAGGTGCCTATCCCACTACCGGTGTGGCATAGCGTGATAGCCTTGCTTGCTTGCCTGCCTATGCACCACAGTAGCATCCTTGGTCGGTTGCCTCGTGCATTATCACATCATGTCCAGATACCGTCTTGCCTTTTGTCCCCGACGTCTCCGGTTGTTCCATGTCGAAGACGGTAGAGGGAGATGATAATCGTTCGATGTTTCAACCCAACGGCCCCATTGGGAAGGGAGGGAAAAGGCCATGCTGTTACATCCTTGTAAGGTTGTTTGGTGGGGTTACCGGGGTGTGACTGGACTCGTCGAGGTTACCGTGTTCCCATTCCGTCTTGTTCTACGGTTTGATATGCAGCTTTGATGACGCGGTTTGGGAGATGAAGCCAGAACTGAACATGGAAGCTTTCGTGCCTCGTGTTCAGCCTGCACTGACCCATCAAACTCCGCTAACGTCGAGCCAGCGAAGCTTCGAAACAGCGACTGCCTAGTTTCGCTGAAGGTCCTGAGACTAATTCTCAGCTGATTCCATTACGGGCGGAAACCAATGACAGTCTTTTCTCGCTTTCTTCCGAGCTTCCAAGCCACTAGTGTCGACCTCCAAGAACATGCTAAACATTGTCCGGAAAATGCCGAAATCGTTCCCCTTTCCCATTTTGTTTAGCTTCCTCCGTCAACATGTGTTTTAGTGTATGTACTTCGCACTGCTACTATTTTAGGCAAACAACGCTAAGCTTTAGTGCTCAAACAGTGTTACATGGTTCTAAGGATTTTCCATGTCTCGGCGGAGCATCCGATCCATCACGACCCGACCTAGGTATGTAGTTCGCATACGAACGCTGGATGCCCGAACGGTCTGATCATCTTTAGTTCTGTTTCAAAAAGGGTCAGTCAGGTATTGACGGGTTCATGCACAAGAGAAATGGCCGTAATTCTGTTTCGGGTCACAAGAGCTTGGGAGTTGTGGCCAAAGCGGGGAATAAAAGATGAAGCGGCTCTGCGTTCCATTCTAGTTCTTCACGATCCACGGTTGTTTGTTGAGGATCAACGTTTGTTCTTCATGATGTGTCTGTGAGGGTTTGTAGGCGATGGTAGGTAATTGCGAATGTTATTAGTTAGATGTCAGACATCGACATGAGGCATGGTAGGTATCATACTGGTGTAGGACATCTAGGATAGTGCGGTTTGTTGAAAATGCTGTTCATTTACAAATTTGAAATTTTTTTATTTTTTTAAATTTTTTTTTTTTTTTAAAAAAAAACCCTTGGAAAATGAAACCAAAGGGTATTTAGTACAGTGAACTAAAGCAACATCATCGGCACAATCGGCCGGCACAACGGCACAAGACGAAACGGGACGGTGTCGAACGTGGAGCGGCTTGTTGGTTTCATTTAGATTTTTTTTTTTTTTCTACCCATTCCACTCGGCTTCTTCTGGGTCCATTCTCTCTTCAAAATATTTTGACAAATAGTCAAAGCAAAACAATGAGCACTTAGTTGGAAGAAAGGAGGGAGGAGGGACTCAAGGGAGCCAGTAAGATACGTCAGTCAGCACTCAATTACTTACTGTCTATGTACTTAGCTTGAGGTGGTTCAGTTCCTTTACCAAGAACATTTGGTATTCGGTACGCACTGTGTTCGCAGCTTGATGCTTATTGATCTTGACAGTTGGATCATCCAACGTCCTGACAATTTTCTTTCCGTTTTTTTTTTCATTCTTTTGTTCTTTGTCGCGGGCTCTCTTCTTTCTCTTCCCTTCGTCAACGTCGATTGTTCTTGACTGTGTGCATACGTAGAGGGCTCGTTCCTCGTATCAGTATACTTGACTTGAAGCGGTTTTATTGATCACCATCCGCCGGTTTGGCTATCATCGTAGGCCGCGCGGTGTCTTGTCTCATATGCCGCTTTCACCCGTGCATCTCCATGGCGATTTTTGCTTATACAGGGGGGGTTAGAAGTTCGTACTCAGCACCTTCAGATATAACTATTTTTTCTATGTAGGTGCATTAGGAGTTCGTGACACCTTCCGAATACAACTCGTCTATAAGAGCATGAGCATGAGCATGCCCGGTCGAGACATGTGAATGATATTAAATGCTAGAAAGAAGAAAGAACAAGCAAACTCGCTTGTGTACTGTACAGGAAGGAATGCACATCGTTTGATGTAACGCTGTTGCCCGCATTGACAGACACATACGAAGTAACTCCCATCGTAGTACATACTTGTTTCGGTAATCGCCATCGGATAATAACAAGCAGGGGGGAGAGTCCACCGGTACGTAGTGTACACGCAACATTTTTGTGCCGAATGTTACAAACATGTGGATGTACATGTGGGTGGGTGGGATTCTAGACGCCGGTCCTGTTTTCCGATGAAGCCATTCCTTGTCGAGTTTTCTTATGCGTTGTCATTCTTAAGGTGTCTGCCTGTTAAGGTGTGCCATAACAGCTAGGTAGTAAGTTGTCATAAATGGTCAGTTATAAGGGTCACTGCGTGCCGTCGTTGAATGGTAAGCTTCTATGTGATGGTGGTGCATGCATCATATTCGTGGCATGGTTCGGTGAGAAAAGATTTTATGCACAAGATAGTAATTGATACACGTTAAGTCCGTGTGCTGCTGCTCAAAAGAGAAATGAAATCGCAAGAAGTAACCCAATGAATGCCCTTTGAAAATCTGTACGTATGGGGGGTATCAAAACAGCAATCTCATGAGTCCAAAACACGCCGGTATTCGAGTCCTTCCTTTCCCCCGTCTCAAGCAATTTATTCGAGCCAATATTTTCCCGTGTCGAATATCTGGCACAAAAAGGCAACCGGGTATGTAAAACGTGATAACCTATGGATATTTCTGCCCATCATTGTGTTCCTGCGTATCTGGTGATGCCTCCTCTCCTGTCTAACCCATTCGGTGAAGGCCTGTCGTGCTCATGACAGGCCGAGGTGTGTCGCTTGTTGTCATTGTTGTAGGGAAGACCTCGGGAGGAGACCCTCTAAATGCCGGAGTAAAATCACTAAGGCTGGTGGTCGAGCTGTTGCGAGCGCCCAGTGATGGGTTGCCGGTATTGAATGTTGGAGTCAATCCAGTAAAGACGGGAGGGGCAACCCAGGTTGATTCGTAGGACAACATGCCATCTAGTGCCCGGGGTACGCGAATCTCGAAGCGTGTTGCCGATGGCACGACTTCCGATTCTTCTCCCCGTCCCATTGCCTGTCAAGAGGTTAGCATATGTGGCACCTTATAAGGGAAAAAAGAAATGCGTGGTCTTACCAAGCAAGTAGCACAAGCAGCGTAGTTGACCCAGACCCAATTCATGCAGTTGTAAGTGTAAAAGTGCTTGCACCGGTACTTGTAGTAACCGCCACCTTGACCGCCGCCGTTGCTCATTATGGCTAGTGTAGTAATGTGATTTTTTTTTTTTTTTTTTTGGAAAGGTACAAGTCTGCAGAAGAATGCTGGTAGAATGTGGAGTTGAAATATGACAAGTAAGATGTTGAATTGTTTGGGGCGTGTGTGATGATACTCTGGAAAAGAAAAAAGCAATGAGAACAAGAAAACCAGATCACGTATATATATACATAACGGGCGGCCCCAGAACGACGGCTGCTACGTCTGTATATGGAATATCAGGACCATTCCACATGGCGAGGTGAACAAGGGTGCTCGGAGACGTGCCGATGGGTATTTGACCCTCACATGGCATGACAAGGGTAACGAGCCCGAGCCTCAAAGACAAGACACTGGGCTGTTTGCTGTCAGAAGAGATGCCTGTTGCCTTGACATGTCTTGGTATTATTACGGTGATGTATGCATGGATATGGAGCCATGGTCAAGTTCCACGCTTGTGTTAGTACCCTTGTTACTTGGCCTCTTTGGCTGCCGTCTCACGACCCTGGGTCATGGGTAGGGAGCCTGATCTAGTGTCAGTCTATACTGTGGACGGGATATAAAGTGGAAATATGGGACAGGCAGAGTGAAGCTAGCCAAGAGGAAGACGCATGCAGTTTCCAGAACCTCATAACGGGAATTCTGGGCCCAGACAGAGGTCCATCAAGTACACACATGGGGGAGCAGGGGCTACCCTATAGCTGATACCCCCAGGCTATGTAGCCTGTTTGATCGTGACCATTGGTCCCAGTCTTGGCCAATGCCGAATGCTGATGAAACAAAGATTTGGCCGACGACAAAAGAAGATGTTATGTATCAGCGATAGCCAATGACGCTCGGCAGGGATACGAGCGGTGGCTGGACAGCCCGTGATGGCGAATGGATAGGATGATGCCATAGGGAAAAAAAGAGTCAGGCAGGAAGGAAAAAAGAAAGATAGTGCACAGAGAGAGAGGTGTTGGTATATAACAATGGAACCGTGACATTGAAACCCCACCATGGCACCTCGACGGGTTGTTTTTGGAGTGGCATGATACGTCGGTAGACAATGCTGAGTGGCGGCGGTGGAAGCCACCCACAGTCATCCCAATGCCGAAAGACGGCAATCCTGAGACATGATAGACGTGATGAGCATGTGAGGGGGACGGGCCGGGGAGACAATCACGCTGTACGCGATGTTGCACGACCAGACAGTATAGTCCATGCGGGCCGTGACGGGACGGGATGGCCATGGAAATGGTCTCTCATTGTACACTCATTCGTTGTTGAGGCTGAGAAGTCGGATCCAATGGGGGAATTTGGATTGTCTCGTGTTGGTTGGCGGCGGCATGTGGGAGACTGGACGTTTCAATGTGAAGATTGGAGGAATTGACACCGCGATTGACAGTGAGACTGGCCCTTCCCTTCCCCGCTGATGATTAGCGGAGCTCTCGATCCGGGTCTCCGCCCAGCTGCGGATTCTCATTGGTCCGAGAGAGTCCCTTACTGTTCATCTGAGCTCAATCGGGTTAAGCCAGGAACAGGTACCGAGAGCTAGATTGTTAAGGAATTCCCCTTTCTGTGTCCACTGTTCAAACAACCACCTCGATTTGGAAACTTGTTTCTTCATCCGTCGTCGCAATCGGACCAGAACATTACCCCTGGAAACCGGGCTGGCTACATTGGGCAAGGTATCACATCCACGATCTGGCACCAAAGCACCTCTGGCGAGCACTATGCACTATCCCGGACACCCTATCCCTTCATTACACGACACCCAAGTGGTGACGGCTATTTGCTTGCCTTCTAGAAGCCCGTGTGTTGCACGGCATAGTCTCTTCCCCCGTCTCTTTCGCCATCCTGTCTAGTGTATCTATCTCGCCCCTCATCCGTCACCAGCCCATCTCGAGCTCACCGATGGATTTCATGAGATTGGTGCTTCCAAATCTCCCGTCAAAGACATGAGATGCTTTCAAGAGCTCACCTGCCGTTGGCATAGGATGATCATCTGCTCATTGTGGCAAATCTGCCCACGTTGCTTACCTTCTTCACGGCTTGATAACTTCATTTGGAGCCTCTTCCCACAACGGCAGCGACGAAAGTAGCGTAGGCAGACAACACTATAATGCCGTTGTCTGATAACGCTACCCCCAGCCTCAGCCAACGTGAACCACTCATTTATTTGGTAAATTTTATATGTACTACCTGACGTCGCTTCATTTTCCATCCAAAGATTGGACGGATCCCCCCCCTATACATCGTGAACCATTCCTGCCAAGTCTTTGGTGTCGAGGAAGATGGTCTTCAACTCCTGACATTCGCACCATATCAAGCTCTGATGCTGCTTCGGCAATGCCGCATATGAATAATCAAGCTGCACGCCATTACTGCAGCTGTCAAGCAGAGAGACAACGCATGGGGGAATTACCCAAGTGCAAGCAGCCGGTGGATGGCATGGGTAAGGATGTTCTTCCACAATGTTCAAACCGCAAGTATTCATCCAGCACGTCTATGGACTACCTTGTCCAAGCGGATTAATGGGTTACATGGTATCAGCCTCTCCTGTCGTTGACTCCAAGTTGTCCTGTATCGCTGGACTTACACTACAAATACACATTGCCGGCCTGTGTACGCTTGTAATGCAGGGGTTAGGGTTAGAGGTACTGGAGGTCTTCAAGTTCAACTGTGTTTTCTGTAACCACTCAGGTGAGCCGGAAGATTTCCCGGTCTTGGCATCGTGACCGCGCGTTTCAATGTCTAATGGCTTCGCCCCAAGACGCGTCTCGCCTGAAAGTCGCCGTCCCGATCCAGCACGACAACATCATCAGCTACATCATACAATTTTTCAATCATATCTTCAGAATTACATGACAGGAAATGGCTCCCATGCGGGAGATAGCCGCGTCAGATGATGAGGGAAGCGACTTCGACCACATCGACAACGACGACGACGACGCGATCCAAGACGCGACTGTGCAGCACAACGAAGCCCAGGAAGGACACCAAAGTCTCCATGATGGTAGCAACGTCTCGACGGACCTGTCCTTCTTCCAGCGCGTCTACGACGAACAAAAAGCCGTTGCAAGCGCAGGAACATACATCGGCACCAACGTCACGACACAAGGGCACCACCAGCCCGCCTCAAAGAGCGACCAATCCTCCTCGATAACCGATCCCGTACCCGCTAGCCGTCGACCGTTGAAAAGAAAGATTGGCGATAACATTGTCGACCTGACCGAGCTTACCCAGGTTACCACTCCTAGAAAAAGCGGTGACGGGAAAGAAAAGACCAACGGAGGTGTAGCTACGAGTGGTACACTACAAGAATCCGGCTCGGTACAACAGGCGGTACGCACATACGGCAAGCGAAAGCAAGCCGAGAGAACACAACCAAGCCCCGAAACAAAAGATGAGATATCGCGGCAATCAATCGTTCGAATCGACCCCTACGAGTTCCCTGACGACGGAGACGATGACTATACAATCCCTTCAATCCCAAAGAAAAAAACAAAGGCAACAGCGAAACGCGCTTCGCCCACCTCAGCCAGCAGTCTCCCCGTGACACATCCAAATGCAACTCCTGATCGCGATGACATCAGCTTCATTCCACTCCCCCCGTCCGAAAATGCGCCTTCTTCCGTCGCCCAGATCCGTAGCTATCAGAAACCAATATCAAGTGAAGAGAATGTCCCGACAAGCAGCTTGTCTGCCACTGCGCCGCAGCGCCTATACATCGCTCCCAGTGCCCTTACAGCCAGCCAGAAAGAAGAATACAGAATAGTCAGTTTGTCCACGCAGGGCACACAAGATAACCTGGCCACACAAGACGATTTGGCCCCACAAGATAACATACCTCCAGAGTCTTCGCTACCTGCTGTACCGCCATCAGATCCGTATCCACACCAAATGTTCGGAGACGGACTACTATATACCGGGGCCGGGACTGCATACAAGTCAAGTGGCATGACTACTGTTGTGCCCTCTAACCTCAGTGACTTCATACGCCGCGGCAACGGTGATGGTGCGCTGGATGCCGCAGCGGCTGCGGCTATGACTCTGACATCGGGCTTGGGATCGGGCAGTTTAGAAATGGGGACTCCGGCGAGAGTTAGAACAACTTTTTCGGCGTCTTCTCCAGATATCATTGGCGGAGCATCGCCTGGAACTCGAAGAAGTGGAAGGAAGAGGAAGGCTAGTCAGTTCTCTGAGCAAGATGCGACTGAGAATAGCCCCTTGATGCGTAGTCAACTGGCAGAGGTTCGGGAGATGAGTGCAGAGGAGAATGCTGATTTCGCTCCTGGCGCAACGGATACTCCTCAAGCGTCCGAAGTTCTCGGCAATGATCAGTTGCAGAATGGACAGATTACCGAGCAACATACTCATGCTACTTTGCCCAGTAGTACCGTCAGAAAGAAGAGAGGGCGAAAGAAGAAAGAAGCCGTCCAAATGGTTACTGAAGAGGATGCTGTCCTGGACAATAGCTTTGAGGCTACCGAATATGAACAGCAAGAAAAGGTTCCAGCAGCTGCTCCTGAGCCCACGAAGCTTGAACAGCCACCACCAAAACGAAGGCGTGGTCGTCCACGAAAGTCTGACGTTGCCGCCACTCAAATGCCAACCAAACAACCGACTCCAGCGCCCGAACCCGATGAGGGAGACGAGCTAGCCTCACCTGCACCACCAACAGGCAGGAAAAGGGGGGTTGTTAGCAACACCAATACAAGGAATCGAAAAGCGTCCGCGCCCATCATCATAGACGACAGCGAAAGTGATGGAAATCTTTCCGATCCACCAGAAGAGTTGTCAGAAGCTGACAAGGAAGCCGAAAAGGATTCCATTGAAGCAGAGCCAGAAATACCCCCAAGTGACGAGGATGAGAATGAGGATGAAGAGGAAGAACTTCCCCGTAAGCGTGGACGGCCAGTAGCAACGGCCGCGGCGGCAGCAGCACCAAGAAAAGGGAAAAGAGGAAGGCCACCAAAAAACAAGGTGCTGCAGGAGGTCTCAGCCTCTTCTGCAAGGAAGAACAGCCGTTCAAAATCAAAACTCCAGGCGGAGCCGGATTCAGACGATCAGGATCAAGATCAAGACCAAGACCTGAAAAAGGACCTGGAAGAGCAAGAAGAAGCAGGAGCAGTGACTGAAAAGGAGAGTAACAAGGATAACCGGGGGGAAACTACTCCCATCCCTGATGCAAAGCCTCCTCGATCTCCCGAAACTCCTACGGAAGAAGTAGATGAGGTCAAGAACAAGGACGTCAAAAAGGAGAAAGAACTTATCAAGCCGACGAGCTTCTTGTCAACGCAGGGTAGAGTCAAGTACAGAGTGGGCCTGAGCAAACGGTCAAGAGTGGCGTCGTTGCTGAAGGTGGTTCCGAGGAAGCAATGATGATGAGAGGGGCCGTTTGTTTGCCAGTCATTTATTCTATTGTATGACGATAGTATTTGCTTGTATATACCACGCTGTCACATTCACCACAAACCTACACAACTCATAATAATGACTCATGCCAGACCTCCCTTAGCCAACTATAGGTACTTATATAACCAACCATATCAGCCGGATCACAAAACTCTAATACCTCCCTAAGGTCTCCCAAGCATCTAGATCTACATTTTTTTCTACCCTAGGTAACCTGAGATATTCCCCAACCTCAACCGTCCCGCTAGCAACTTCTCTCATCTCCCTCCCTCCAAGAAACAATAAATGTGCACCCACACCATATCCCGCATCCTCTGTCCCCACTGCCGCCTCTCCGTCACTCTTACTTTCACCTCCGAAGCCAAATGTCCCTCGGCCGCCGCCCTCGATGACGGACGCTACGACACTTCCGTTCCCAAAGGACATTGTCTAAAGTGGACCAATAGGGAAATCAGAATTTTCGGCCAGGAATCGTGTCATAATTGTAAGGACCAGCAAGAGCGAGTGTCGGCGTCAGTGGGGGGAGATGAGAGGAGTGAGGGGAGTAAGGGGGGTGAGGAGGGTAAGGGTGATGATGGGAGTAAGGCGGGCGAGGAGGGTGAGGGGGTGAAAGGGGGATAGGGAGGGGAAGGAAGATAATGGAGAAGGAGGAGGAGAAAGGGCGAAAGCACTGGGGTAATGGGATGTAACAAGTTTGACAAATAATGGAATTGAGAACTTTGGTAAAGTTGGAGATGGAAATCAAATAGGTGGGTTAGTCTGGTGAGTTTAGCATAGAGAGGCAGTCTGATAACCAGAGCTAGCTTGGCATAGTTTATATCAAGGATTGATGGTGAACTGTGATATGGCGATGAGTTACCGCAGGTCAATCCAATCGCAGTTATAGCTCCACAAACCACAATCTCATTCACTCCATCTACTCTATCCCACTCAAATTGACAACTAACCAATCCTCGCATCCAGCGCCATCATCTCCGCCTCATCATCCTCATCCATCT